CTCAACCGCTAAAACCCTAAACCTTAAAGCCCTAAACCTTAAACCATAAACCCCTAAACCCCTAAAACCTTAAACCCCTAAAGCCCTAACCCCTAAAACCCTAACCCCAGACCCTAAACCCCTAAACCTTAAAGCCCCAACCCCTAAACCCCTAAACCCCTAAAACCCTCAACCCCTAAACCCCTAAAGCCTCAAACCCCTAAAACCCTAAACCCCTAAACCCTATACTGCACTACCTAAGTGGGTCGCCACCGACCCTTCGCCTGCGAGGACTCAGCCGGCCGAGGCCAGGACCCTTCGGCTCGGCGCCGATGCCTCGAAACGAAACGGCAAAGAAGGGGCCATTTAGGGTTTTTAGGGCTTAGGGTGCAGGGTTGAGGGTTTTTGGGGGGTTTAGGGTTTGGGGTTTAGGGGTTTAGGGGTTGAGGGGTTTAGGGCTTAATGTTTAAAAGTTTAGGTTTCAAGTTTGTGGGGATTAGGGTCCAGGGTTTAGGCTTAAAGTTCTAGGCTTTAGCTTTTTGTCGGGTTTCGGTTTCATAGAGCATTACGACAACACAAGACTGGAACACACAACTCCAAACAGAAACAGAGACAAAACGAAACAAGGTTTAGCGGTTGAGTCCCTCGCAGATTCCGGCCAACAGATTCTTGCAACCCAACTCCGGCTTTGAAAGAGCTCTTTGGGGTCAGCAGACTCTTTACCTGGAGGTAGAGTAGGGCATGATACTCCTGGACATTGGTGCACAAGTGGGTTTAGATGCAAATGCCAAGCACATATGTCGCTCCCTGCTTGCCAAGCCAAATCAACGAGGCTTTGCGGTCGCAGGAGACAGCGGAATCGAGCGCGACTCTGGATCCCAGCGGTGGCACTCGGGACCCAAGTCTCTGAAGCCTGTCTATTTTTGCATTCCTGCGGGCATAGGCCACCGAAGAGCTCCGAGATCGCACCACGACCAGACAGCAAGAACCCCTCCCCTGCCTGGGGAGTGTCTCTTCAGGCAAAGCTGCGTGGCCCGGCACATCCTGATGGCTTGCTTCGTCTCAGGTTCAGTCCAAGATGTTCATGCATTGTTCAGGCCTCTGCGTGCGTCAACCGTGATACTTCGGGATACTGCAAGGGGCAGCTTGCTTACCAAAGAAAGTCTCGAGCTGGACCCCGAGCCACATGCCCAGGCCTGCACACGGTGCCGCAGCGCGCGATCGTGTGGCCAGTGACTGGGCCCATCAGGGGACCGAAGGGGAACATGATATCGCAGCTGAGAGAGGCTCAAGGACACTATGTGGAGAATAGTGTGCTATCGCACATCGAAGGCAAATACCTCGGCATAGATAGGCTCTGAGGCGACAGACACGACCAGACCAGTTCAACTCTCTGGGCCTCTGGGCCACGGACTGGGCACTGCTGTCGTATCCAGCATGGGTGTTCGGGACCTACAGCATTCTCAGGTTCAGATAGACTCACTGCGGACACCAGCAGGAGCGCCCCAACAGCAAACAGGCACCAAGCTCCGCAGAGACCAGGTCTACTGATCACGTGCACAAGCTAGTCGCTCTCGTTGGTCTACTCTTCGGCAAAGGGCTTGCATGGACGACTCAACTGGGTACAGTCGCTTCCACAGGCTCAGTTGACATGTTTATTCTGCCCTGCAGCTACACCCCTGGAGATCTGAAGAGCCTCGTGCCAGTGGCTGTCGGGCTGATGGAAGAGGCTAGGATCAAGCACCTCAGTGGCCGGAGAGTCACACTCAAGGCCGTTTGCAAAACTCTGTTGTGTAAAATCAAGGAAAAGTTGATGTCAACGGAGGCAAGCTAAGATGTTGAGGCAGGGGCCATTGCAACTGCTGCGACTGGGGCACTGCAGTTCTCAAATTGAGCCCGTGGCTGACCAGAGGCATTGAATGAGTAATTAGCATGTTCACACTTCTGTTGCGCAGGCTTCTTGAGGTGGGGCCGAATCCCTGAAGCATCTCCGCGAATCCCAAGGGAGACCGACAGATCCATCGACAAGAACCGCACAGGAGGATATCGCTGTCTCTCACGTCTTTCTGTTGCATGGTGCAAAAGATGAACGCCGTTGAGGCCATGCGTGTTGAATTTAGCACAAGACTCCCGCCGACTCTCGCCAAGACATTAAAGGCACTGCTCGCTTTGCTCCCTCAACACGTACTCGCAGTGACCGCGAATGAAGTTGACCACACCTACGAGCTCACGGGCAGTTGCACCTGTTTGCAGAAGCAGTTGGCTGTCCTGTTAATGCTCATTCAAGCTGGCCTCTCCGGCCATGTTTTCGACACGTGCCTGTCCAAATCGCATCATCCTAACGTTACGCTGCTGCGCCTTCAGGCGACGAGCATGCGAAGAGGTAGGTCTTTTCTCGGCGGGCTGCAAGCACTGTCCATGACACCGTCTTTGATCTTGTGGTATCGAGTCTACCTCTTCGGCAACCGAGCATTAACAGGGCGGAAACTGTACACGGAACCACCTGATTTTGAAAACTTGCTCAGCCGTCCAGCGTGAAGGACCTAGGGCCACTGCTCTCGGACACACACACACACATACCGCAGCTCTTCCAGCATCAGCAGCATGCTTTTGCACCATTAGCCTTTGTCACCACAACTTCGTTTCCTAGACTAGCATGTCACCAGCTGCACGCACTCGCTTTCCTTCTTGCCTAACCCCAAAGAGAACGCACAACAGAAGTTTTTTGATACGTCACCAACCATTCCGTTCAAACGCGCGCATCACGCACCAGGTTCGAAAGATACCTCCAAGGACCAGAAGCCCGACTCCGGGCGGAGCTTGTGGTCATCCAGAATCCACCCGAAATTGTCTATCATGAAGCTTTCACCTGAAGCACCCGCAGGCTTGAACTAAAACCTTCCATTTCTCACTACTCAGCCCTCGGCGGGAGGTGCCCACCGGATCTGGTGCTAAGCGTGCCCTGCCGACAATCAGATTCAGAGCTTTGCAGACTGAACTTGCGAACAATCAACATGCTTTACAGCGCTTCTTCGCAAGTGCACCCTACCTGGTCGGAGCATCGGTGGGTAGCCAACCTTGCAAACACAAGAAGTCCAACGCTGCAAATGTCCAAGAGAAGGGGAAAAATCCCCAGGCCTGTCTGTGCACGACGACTCCGGGCGGTGTCCATTGGGCAGCACCGCCTGCAACAACACCTGAAAATGAAAAAGCAAGCGTGCTTCTGGCTCTGGGCATGGAACTATCTGTGCCAGCCAACAAAAAACGGCTAGAAGCGTGGAGTAATGGCATGTCTCGGGCGGAAAATGGAAAACTTGCGTGTAAGGCCTCGAGCACTTCAGGGCGACACGGCAGAGCCCCATGAGGCAGACAAGACAACAAAAATTAGACCTTTGAGCCTGCAAAGCCATCCATGCACCAGCAGCTGGAGCCCTTGTTCGGCCTGGTGCGAAGGTCGGAGCCCGAGCCTGATCTTGCCTGGACCGAGCTGGAAGGCTTCGCTCTCGGGTCTGCTTGTGATGGCTTGTGGTTGAAGTGGCTTTCCGGAAACTCCTGTAGCTCGGGTTTCGGATGCCTTGTGGGCAGAAATCAGGGCCTTCAAATGCGACCCGCCCTGGCTGAAACCTCACATGCATCTTCAACGTCGATTCATCACGGGCTTAATCAACCATAGATCACAACTTAAACCGAATTGCTTGCTTAGGAAGAACTCGAGACCTGCAAGCCCGACCCGCACAGGCTTGAGCTCGTCTCAACAGATTGGCGCCTCCGTGGCAAGCCATGCGCCTGGCGCCAACAAATTTCTCTGTGAAGAGTACATAAGCCCAAACGTTATGAAAGTCCTCCGATCAGATAGGTAAGTGCAACAGTACAGGGAGGCCAACGGAACAGCCAGAGTGGTCCGATCTTGACGGCTTCTCCAAAACCCTTACTGAGGCACGCCATCAGCTCGCAACAGCTTGCACAACTGAGCCCGCTAGATTCACAAGCCGTTCCGCGTTGGCTACTCTACCTGGGCTTTGCACTTGGCCTTCTCAGCGACTGCAACAGAAATCCGAACAACTGCTAGGAGCCTGGTGGGCGACAATGACATTCTGCTGCAAGTACGACCTCGTTGGCAATCGCGCATTAGTGTATCAACCGGCTTGCCTCGTGTGCTTGCGTAATTCACTGCCCACGGAACCTCTGATAGTTTCGTTGCACGGTGCTCCGGTGTGAGCAGAACTTCCAAACAGCCCAGCAGTGTTCCAGTCACGCTTTGGCTTCCAGCGGAGAACCACCGGGCGGTCCAGCAGAGCCTTCTGGGTCGCACAGCAAAAGCCATCCGTTACGCGTTGAAACTTTCGAACTGGGGGTGGGTGCGATCTTGCGGCTTGCTTCCACACACGTTCAGATCAAGCATTTCATTGCAGGAAAGCCGACAAACAAACCAACAAACCGTGTTCATTCATCGGACGAAGGTTCCAAGGACCCTTCTTACTGCACATGACGTACAGCGGTCTTCGGCCTTCCCTCCTTACACCTGTAAGCTCCGTCATGCAGCGAATTCCAAAACTCTTTCTCTACTCGGCGCCTGTGCGGCCCGCCGCTTTCTCCCCCGGCAACTCATCCTCCTCCTCCTGGAGATTATGCCAAACTTGAAAGGGAAAAGGGGGCTCCGGAGCAAGCTTATTCTATTGGTTGTCCAACCATTGTTACTTTGCTGCCTGTCCACTGCTAAATAAAAGTTTCCGACATCATCTATGGCATGCACAGACGTCCTTCTGCTTTATCCAACCCGAAACCTTGGAGCGGTAAACCTACCGCACATCCCTGAAGTTTCCGGTAATCCTTTCGATTCTCAAATCCTCCAGCAGGAACTCCAGCCTCTTCGGAGGCATCCTCCCAGCCTCCAAAGCGGAGGGCTGCAGCCGCTCCCGTCACGGCCTTGCGGCACGAGAAGTCCAGTTGAGCACAGCTGAAGGACGTGAGATGCTTACAAAACTATGCATGAAACATCGAACGTGCGGAATACATCTGCATAATCGCCAAAGCCCATTTACGGATTACAATCCAACCAGTACAAATTAGGAGGAGAAGGCGGGAGGATGAGGAGGAGGAGGATCGGTGTCAGTGGCACGAACATGAGCGATGGCAACGGTACTCTGCATGAGCATGGTGCTTCTGTCGTGATTACACTTCCAATGTCGAGTGAATTTCGAAACCATTGTTGTTGTGTCTGCGGCAGTTGCTGTTCTTATTGCCATTTCTAAATCCGTTAATCATTCGTACTGCTGATCTCCTGACAATAAACAGTGCCAATCCAAAACGAATCAAAAAACAAAAATCAAAATCATAACCATTCGCAAGACTCACAGCTATTCCTGCGCAAGCCGCCAGTCCGATTGCCATGACCAGTGTTGACATTCGTAATTAAAACCTCACCGGACAAAAATTGTTTCGTTCAGGGCTGCTTTGGTGCTTATACTGTCAGACGTACATGCTCACTGCTATCGCTGTTGAGAATCCTTGTCTGGCAACACCATCAGCAGCAGCACAGTGTCCGCGCTTTTGACCAGCCACAAAATAGAACACACTGCTTATTTTACATTCACAACACACGTGAGAGATATGCAAAGCCCAAAGAAACCATGCCTTCGTTCAGCCCTTCTTCCACTTTGCGAAGCAGACGAGTTGCTGCTGCTTCATCTTAATAGTCTTAACAGCCGGTGTAGCAGGCCTCGACTTGCGAGCAAGCTTGGTCTTTGCCAGTGTTACCTTTCTAGCGGCCTTGGCCTGGGGCTGTCTGTCCCTAAGCAGGTGGCGCCTTGTCTTAAAAGATGCTATGGCTCTAAGGGGCATCTTCGTGCCGTCGAGGGAGAGCAGAGGGAAAACCTCCGGGTGCATGACGTTGCCACGGCTGTTGGCCCATCTTGTCTTGATTCGACCACGATCAAGTTAAGTAGAGGAGCACTCCAGACCTTGCCGCCCAAACTATTGAAGCACATGTAGAAATAGTTCGCTGTCTCACCAAGCTCCTCTCACATGCGGCTCCAACCAAAAGGGCATTTTCCCAGGGGTCGTTGCAGTACTCCTGATCGTGATACACTGCTTGCGGGCAGTACCTGACTATGTTTTCGTACACGTGCTTGATGCTGAGCGTCTCTGTGCGGAAGAACTCCTCTGATATGGTCGCCACTTTGCGAAACTCTTGTCTCTTCGGCAATACGATCGGCAATACGAACCATTATTCCTGGGCCAAGTGGCTGTCCAACAGAGGCAACAGGTCGTCTTTGACCAGAATCACTGCCAGCATGGTGATCACTTTAGTTGGATTCGGATTTGATGCATGCGAGGCCCAAAAAAGCGAACATCGACGTTCGAAGGCCCGAACGAAGCCAAAAGGTTTCCTCTCATGAGTCAGGGCAGTGGCTGGTGGGCGGAGAAATTAGCGCATTCTCTCAAATATAAATGCAGAAAGCTTGCAACACACATGATTTGCAATGCAGTCGAAAGAATGTGCGACAACTGCAAGAACCGAATGCACACGACACAAGGGACAAAAACATTCAGGTTGGAAAGAGTAGTGCAAAACGAAAACCGCTCACGAAGCTCACCGCCCTCTCCCTAGCACAGCCAAACACTTTCGTTGACAAAATATCAGCTCGTTTTCACTACCAAGCAGCTGTTACAAAGTAACCCTATGCATGGTGCATGAGGTCTGTGAACTCTGCTGCTCGCCTTGTGCCCGGTGGCCATGACCATGCCCACGTGCTCAGAGACCCTTCCGGTCGCTCGGCCAACCTGAGTGGAGCTCTGCTCGAAGCATCATCGGAGTGCTTCTTTACCCTGCAGAAAACGCGGCGGGTCGCTTCAGGTCTTTGAGTGAGGACTTGCATGCAGAGCGTTGGCAAGGGACTCCAACTGCTCAACATAGATGTGATACCACAGCGAGACCAACAAGAACATCAAACAAAAGCACAGAGTCGTTTGTACTGTCGACCCTTGTCGCTGCCTCCTCGTTTCACTCCTTGGGAGAATTCCATACGGAGGTGCACAAGCTTAGTTTATTGTAAAGACGACTCAGCAGAATACTACCTGATGAATTGCTTGTGAAGCGAAAACTGTAAGGCCCAGACGGAACTCCTGGCTTTCTTGAGGCCACGCGCCTTGGCAAAGGGGTTGGAATGCTACATGTCCGACAGAATACAAACTGCTATCGGAACGTTTGGATTTCTTCCACACTTTCTGGGGAACGCTTTGGAGCGGCCGTCTCTAGCTGTAATGTGGTGCTGCTTTTTGTCTCAAGCTGACACCCACTTAGGACGTGAATGGAAATCGCCGGAAGAGTGCCTCCATCCTGCGGACTACACCCACTGCCCGTGGAGCCATAAGGAACCGTCCGTCTCGGTTTTTTCTGCTTGGCATGCAACATCCAAATCCGTAAACACTCCACGGCATCCCCTTGAGCTGCACATGCTCTTCGGCCAATTTCTTACTCCTACCGGGAGGCTTCTCACCGGCGCAAGTTGCTTTGTGCACTTGAAAGACAGCCCCTGTCGCCTCCGCCGAAACCATGTCTTCAGTTAATACTTCCCAGCTGCAGGAAGGGCAGAAGCACTGTGAGGATCCAGCCAAACGGTCGACCCAATGAGGCATCGGGCCAACTCCCAACTCCTCCGACCAGGCTCATGCACACCGCTGACATAGCTGCTTGACCTTTCTGATAGACAGGCGCTGGCCCATGAAAGTGAATATTCACACAGACACAGGCGCGCACACACGCAGAGAGAGACGTTCACATGCGATAACATACAAGCACCAGTACGTGATAGTACAGTTCCAACGTTGAGCCCACAACCTGAAATACCACAGATCACTAGAAGACCACACCAAGGTCACATCCCGAGACCACCCCAACACCACCCCAAACCTCCAAAACTCCGATCAAGACGAGTAGAATGAAACCACATGGAATGCCCAAGAGTGAGCAGGATGATGAGGGTGATGACAATGCTGGTGATGGTGATGCTGATGCTGAAGATGAGGATGATGATGATGATGCTGATGAATATGATGATGGTCATGATGATGATCATGATGATGATGGTGATGATGATGATGGTGATGGCCGTGATGATGATGGTGATGATGATGATGATGATGGCGATGGTGATGATGGTGATGATGGTGATGATGGTGATGAAGGTGATGGTGATGATGATGAGGAGGAGGAATATGATGATGATGAGGAGGAGGAGGAGGAATATGATGATGATGATGAGGAGGAGGAGGAATATGATGATGGTGGTGGTGGTGGTGGTGGCGGTGGCGGTGGCGATGGTGATGACGGTGATCATGGTGATGATGGTGATGATGGTGATGGTTGTGATGGTGTTATGATGATGAGGAGGAGGAGGATAATGATGACAATGCTGACGCCGATGCCTTGCCATTGATTGCTATTTACTAAGGTCTATTTGCAAAATGTAAATACAACTCTTTGCCTTTACCCCGATCTGTTTGTGGGCTATGTGGAGGCAACAGCACGTCTATTCGGGCGAGGGGGTGCTGGGGTTGAAAGATAACATCATCAACAACTGCCCATGATTGAAGTTTTGTGGCCACCAACTGATGCCCTGAGCTTGCAGACTTGGGAGTTTCCGACATGATGAGTCAGAGATAACTTCGGGGCATTCACTGTGATCCTCGGCGAGAAGCATCGACTATGGTTCGGGTCACCCTAAACGCCCTTGCTTGAAGGCTTGGGTTCAGGGGTATATCTATAGTAGATCAGGGGGAGCGTGTACATGCCCACCTACCGACCTACCTACCTACCTACCTACCCACCCACCTAAATACCCACCATGTACATACATTCATATACATACATATACATGCACATACACATACACATACACACACACACACCATATACACATACACGTACACCTACACATGCACATACGCATACACATACACATACACACACACATCTACTTTTGTTTGTATATATATATATACATATGTGTATGTATATGTATCTGTGTATGTATGCGTACATATATATATACATACACATACATGTGTATGTATGTATGTATGTATGTATATATATATATAGGTACAAAAATTGAACATGCTTGCCTTCAGTTATGCATATTAGTGACATGTGCAGACAAAGACTGGCATAAGACCTTCCGCAAGAGCTTGGCATGTCGGTAGTCCTTGACGAGGTGTCGGCCGAAGCTGCAGCAATTATGCCTCAACGGGGTTCTAGTGTTCATTTTCACTGTGTGGCTCTAGCACTGCCTCCTTCCTCAGCCAAAAACATCTCAGTACACGAGAAGATGTCGCAAAAATACTGCTGGTCTGCGGCTAAGGACGCTACCCTACCAGGTCATAGTGCTCGCCCATGAACTCCTCACTGAAACGGACAGAACTTTCTTCGTGCGAGTTTTCCGAGCTTTACTGCATTTGCAAAACGTTCGCGGAGTTGCTTCCGCTGATCGCACTTTCGGGGACAAGCGTGTGCCAAGCCGATCTTGAGTTGATCTGGCGAGGAGAATTGCTAGGGAAGTTTACACGCCAACTCCTCTTTTTCGACGGGAATCCGTGGTTCTGCGCGACAGTAGAGGAAGGATTTCTATACACTTTTGTGGGACACCGAGTCCGGGGACTTAGGCACCTCCGTGGTGGATGGGCCTGCCCAACAAAACTGTCACAGGTATTCACCCCTCATGGTACAAAATTGCCCCTCAAAGATGTCACTGATGACTTAAGCCTTTGAGGCTGCATCATTTACAGGGACACCCACGACTGCCCCACCCGCGCCTGCAGTACCTTCGGCGAGAGGAGTAACCGGTGTCGGGGTAGGTTTACGAAAACAAAAGAAGTATGCAGCGATGCCAGCCACAAGCAGCACCAAAGGAATGCCCAATCCAAGCCCCAAGCCCAAAGCGAGCGGATCCGGGCCAGTGTCACTATCACTGGCCGGGGGATTTGCGGGAATCGCGCACAGGTGAACTTGATGCTCGTAGGCGTGGATGCCTGCACAGTCATGGCTGCCGCCAGCATCATATAGCGGGCAGTCTGAATGCTCTTGCGGGTCACGAGTCTGACTGGAATAAAGGTTTCGCATGTAGGTAAGCCCGCATGGGCCCGCGAAGGCATCGCCGTAAAGCGCGTGCATCAAGTCACTGAGCAACGTCTGCGGCTGTGCTGGCATCTGTTCGAACCAGCCACTGCCAACATGGCCAGTCCAGGGATTGGGATCGCTCACAGAGCCGTCGACTCGATAGACTGCCTGTGCTTCCCTCGCCTTCAGGGTCACGCTGCTGCCGCCAAGGCTGAAACTCGAAACAAAGTCATCCAGAGTGTAGTCTGCATGGTTTAGCCTGTACGTCTCGTCAATGATGACATCAGCTGACGCGAGGTGCTGCAAGTAGTGCTCCAGTCCATCCTGGTTGCATTCATAGGTCCCAGAGCCATCCGAGTTGGTCGTCAAAGTGCAGCCATCTGCCGCTTGGCCTGGCATCGGGAGGAGCCGTGCACCAGCATCTTGGGTGATGTCCCGCTTGAAGAGGGAGTTGCTGAAGAGGTAGAACATCCCGCAACGGCACCAGTTGCCGTCTGCCTTTTGCCTCCAACTGCCCGGTGTTACCCCATCACACACGACATCAGAGCAACCCTGATGAGTAACCCAGGCCACTGAAGGAACGCCAGTCACTCGAGCTGCTGCGAGACGATCGGCTTCGGATTGCAGCGATCTGTAGTCCGCCACAACCTTTCGAAAGATCTCTCCAGCAGTGACCTCGAGGTTGAAGAACAGGGCAACGAAACGAATCCATTCGGCACGTGGCAGGATGCCCGAGTCAACCGACATGGCGAAGACCACATCCTTCGTTGTGTTGCTCGCTCCGCCCCCCCATGCGTCTGTGAAGACGGCGTCTGCATCCATGGCTAGTGGCACCCAGTCGCTGCTCGAAGAAGAAGCGTGCAGACCCGGAGTGCATACCTCGAGCAGTTGCATGCAAGGCGACCCAGTGTAAGTTAGGTCATGTAGAATAATGGCTTCCGTCACTGAGAGCATCTCGAAGAAATGCACGGGGTTTGTCCCATAAAAAGCCAGCTTTGAAATGGGGACGGAAAAGAACCACGCGTCCTCCGACACATCGTTGAAGGACGTGGTCGGCTGCGTCGTGCCGCATTCGTACAGCACGAGATCCGGAGGGGCTTGGCCCCTGAGTGCCGGATTCGGCCACCCCGACCTCAATTCGGTCAGTGCCGCATTGTACTTGATGACCTTGTAGGTGGAGTAGTAGGTCACCGTGAAGGCATCTTAGTTGATCTTGCGTTTGAAAAAAGTGCAAGTTAAACTGGAGGCAGCGAAATCGCCGCATCGGCTGGTTGCGAACTTCACAAGTTGCTGAACCTGCGGCCCAGTGGCTGGCAAATTGGACCGTCTCGCCGTCAGTGATCCCTTCTGGCCTGATGAAGGGCGCTGCATTGGGAGGGCAGGGGTCAGCCGACGCCAGCGTCCCAACCTCGGCTTGGCTTTGCGACAAGAAAATATAAGGTCGGAAGATGGTGCCAAGCAGCTAGAAGCAGGAGAGCAGCTTGCATGGCTTGCATCGCGGCGGCGGGCGAAAGAGTCTCCAGGTCTTGAGCAAGTGCTGGTCAGCGGCACTCAAACATCCGAAATCGACATCACCTCGCTTCCCTGAACTTCTCGCAGCATCCTCTGTTTAGCTTCCGGCACCGATAGGATCCAGCCCCAAGGACAAACAACATGGAGTTTAGAACATAGAACAGTCTAGGAATGGATGCAGATGATCATAGATGAAGCTCGCAACAATCCCAATTTTGATGGCGATGCCTATTCCGCCATCGCTAGGGGCCTGGAAGGCACTCCTCAGCACCGCTGCGAACTGCACCTAGAGGCCGACAGAGAGGGTCTGCAACTCTCAACCAAGATATCAGAAAGCCGGCCAGCACCTAACGAATCCCTCCAAGCTCAAAAGCCCGGAAACCGAAAGCCACGACCACCACGAGAAGCCTCGTTCAGCTCCGTCTCGCCCAAGAGAACGCTGCACCTTCGGGTTGCTTTTTGGAGAGGATCCCCTCTTTCCCCATGGGTTTTTGCAGGATTTAGGTTGGGCAATCGGAGTTTGGAGAGCAGAGTACTTGAAGCGCAGGACCAAACGAAAAGGGTAGCATGCGCACTCATCGCGATCACTAGGCTCAGCTCTTTACAAGCGTCGGTTTTCTCGCTTCCTCTTCTCTGCCGAGGTGCTTGTAGACGTGCCGGGTCTGTTGCCGCGGAGGGCTCACGCTGACCTCATCTCCACACTTCGTCCAACTTTGACTTTCAAATACCTCTTACCGAAACGTCTGCTTACAATACTACTAATACCAATAACAATAATTATTATCATTTCTTGTATTTTTTATGGGCAAGCACAACCAAGGCATGCGCACCGTAGAGTCCGTAGGACCACTCTCCTCCGAAGACCTCGAAGCTTCAGGCCGGCGGCGATGCGACGAGAATATGAGGACAACGAATCCGATGAAAATTGCAAAAAATGAAGATAACCAGTATTTTGTTATAACACGTATACTATAACCTTTCATGGCAATGACACATGACACACCCCGCCTCCCCAAAGTTGCGAGTAAGGGCACAAGGCTGCAACCTGAGTAAAAGTGCATACACGGTGCATTGTGTGTATCTGACTTGGTTCATCTTCTTGGGCACCTCCTGTATTCTTGGTTGGCATCGTATGATATTTGACACTGTCAGCATATGCTGCAGTGGCCAGTCCTATGATTCCTTGTTCAAGAAGTTTTCCAACAAACCACAGACCCGGCCCCCTAGCTTCCATCCCGAGGTTCGGATCTTTTAAACGTTTCACAACCCTTTGCAAAAGCAAGGCGGAACAGAAGAGAGGACGAGACACAATGCTCAAACCGCATTGCCCTAGCTGCTTTAGTCAAGTATGCACCTAAGCCCAAGACTCGAAGGCCCAAACCCCAAATCCTAAAATCCCAGACCTTGCACTCTGAAACCCTTCACCCTAAAGACACAAACCTTGATATCTAGGCACACAAATCTTACCGTGTGGGCTGCCGAGCTTGCGATTCTGCAAGCTCATCCATTCCTTACTCGGAAGTCCCAGGAAACCTCTCTGTGTTGTTTAGCTTTTCTGATATTCATCTTGTCAGTAAACGCCTCTACTAGAAGGATCCAGAGGCAGCAAATACAGTAGATCTTTGTTACGCCCAGAGCTGCCCTACATCAGATGATGATACTTATCAGCATGTTTGTACCTCACTTTTCCGCGGTGCTTAGTGCTTAAAGTAGAAGCTGAGCCCAAACCATGACACCTAAATCTCAAACCCCTTAAAGCCCTCAAGCCGTAAATCCATGGATTCCCTGATCCTTCGATTTCGTCGATTTCGGGACTTTGGTCGGGCATAAGGGTTGTCCGTTTATGTAGGGCTCGGAAAACAGTAGTAAGTCCTTAGAGATCCTTGACAACAAGAGCACCATGATATACTGCAAAACCCTATGCCCATTGGAGCACATGAGCCCTGTGAATTGAACAAGGCTTCTTCGTATGTCATATGAACTTGGAAATCTTGCCCGAAGATGTGCTGCTCCGCTGCTCCGCGTCGTGTTCCTGCACCTACTCCCAATCAATGGCAGCCGGAATTCGGTACCATGATTAAGTCAGTTAGTCGTGTTGTTGTTGTTGCAAGAGAAGCCTTCTTGACTGGTTATCAGTTGTAGCTCTTTTTTCCTTGGTTATTTCCCTACTTAAACCTGGCCGCAGGGTTTAGTGGGCATAGTCTTTTTGCCATCTGCGCTGCATTTGACGCCCCAGCCACTAGGAGGCACACCTGCTAGCGCGCCATTGGCGGTCGATGCTACCACCGGACAGCGAGGGTCGACCGGGATCTCCTGGCGTGACCCAAGGTTTAGGGTTTAGATTTCAGGCCAAAACCCTCAACCAAAATCCTAACACCGTGCATGACTCTAGGACTCTACGAAGCTTCAAAGCTCATGACCCGAAGCCGCCTTAAACTAAATAAATAAGCACGGACATGTAAGCCAAGCAACCAGGAGCACGCAGTACAGCGCGCACCCCGCGGCCGCAGCCGGTGCCTGGTCTGGAAAGCTTGCAACCCCCACTGACCATCCGAAACAGACACTGCCTCCCTGCGCCTAAACCCTTAAAACATCTAAGAGACAAAGGCTCTAGACTCTAGACTCGATTGAAGGCTACAGTATAGAAAGACCTCATGGAGTGGCTTTTCAAGCCGCCGAACTCTTTACGTCAAAGGATATAGATGTATGTGGACACGATGGGACATACATGGAAGATGGTAGAGTACGTTGCTCAGGTCAGAAACGAAGGTGCTCCGTTAACAGGAATCGTGGAAGCAAAGCCTACATGTACTACGACTTGTGATGGGGGGAGTGTGTACGACACGCAAGGTAAAGGTCCCGGTGATGAGGACTACAATGGCCCAGCTCTCGTTCTGACTGGTAAAACATTATTGTCGGCGGAGTGCTCTGGAGAACGCCGCTGCTTCGAAGAGTCTATGTGTCTAAGAATGCCCATGTCCGCATCGCACCTTGTCTAAAGCCGGCTCGCAAGATGCCTGAATCTAACTACGTGATAGATGTGATTGTATGCAGGCTCCAGGGGACAGACGTGGAGGACTGGTAGCAAGGGTGATATGCAGGATGCTATTCGTACAAGGAACCAAGGTGCCCATGTACAAAGAGTCTTGGAGGCCATAGCAGAAATACTTAAATAGAAGGATTTGTCAGGAGGGTGCAGCACTGATGAATCCGGGTTGCGACAGGGCTCTCGTCACGTACGTGCAGGCATGCTGGAAGCTTTGCACACAGCTTCCAGGGTCTTCTGTCCACAGGCTGGTCCATGCTCGCCAGCCGTTAAGTGTCTTGTCCTTCACCCGCCCAGAGCCACCCAGCCACCTTGAGCCACCCGCAAAGCCACCCGCTGGGAGCCACCCTGCCCAAAGCCACCTGCCCAGACAGAGAGCCACCCGCCCAGAGCCATTGGGAGCCACCCCGCCCAGACCCACCCGCCCAGACCCAGACCGAGCCACGCGCCCAGAGCCAGCCACCACCGTGAGACCCGAAGCCACCCGCCCAGAGCGACCCAGCGCCACCTTGAGCCACCCCCAAAGCCACCCGCTGGGAGCCACCCCACCCAAACCCACCCGCCCGACCCACATGCAGAGAGCCACCCACATGGGCAGAGCCACCTGAGCCACATGCCCAGACCCAGCCACCACCTTGAGCCACCAAACCACCCGCCACAGGCAGAGAGCCACCCGCCCAGAGCCACCCAGCCACCTTGAGCCACCCCCAAGGCGCCACCCGCCCACGCGGAGAGCCACCCGCGCAGAGCCACCCAGCCACCTTGAGCCACTCCCAAAGCCACCCGAGGGGGAGCCACCCCGCCCAAAGCCACCCGCCCAGACCCGCATGCAGAGAGCCACCCGCGCCACCCACCCACCTTGAGCCACCCCCAAAGCCACCCGCTGGGAGCCACCCGCCCAGCCAGCCACATTGAGCCACGCCACCCGCCCAGACCCACATGCAGAGAGCCACCCGCCCAGAGCCACCCAGCCACCTTGAGCCACCCGCAAAGCCACCCGCTGGGAGCCACCCAGAGCCACCCAGCCACCTTGAGCCACCCCCAAAGCTACCCGCTGGGAGCCACCCCGCCCAAAGCCACCCGCCCAGACCCACATGCAGAGAGCCACCCGCCCAGAGCCACCCAGCCACCTTGAGCCACCCCAAAGCCACCCGCTGGAGTGAACTCCTCGCTGATGTTCTGGCCCACGCTGATCTTCCAGGCGATGTAGTCATCCCCGGTTGGGCCAAAGGATAAGTTTTGCAGCTAGGGCAATGCGGTTTGAGCATTGTGTCTCGTCCTCTCTTCTGTTCCGCCTTGCTTTTGCAGAGGGTTGTGAAACGTTTAAAAGATCCGAACCTCGGGATGGAAGCTAGGGGGACGGGTCTGTGGTGTGTTGGAAAACTTCTTGAACAAGGAATCATAGGACTGGCCACTGCAGCATATGCTGACAGTGTCAAATGTCATACGATGCCAACCAAGAATACAGGAGGTGCCCAAAGAAGATGAACCAAGTCAGATACACACAGTATGCACCGTGTATGCAGTTTTACTCAGGTTGCAGCCTTATGCCCTTACTCGCAACTCTGGGGAGGCGGGGTGTGTAATGTGTCATTGCAAGTAATACCAACCATATAATCATGATCACAATAACAATAAAAAAATATTCAAAATTGGTAACAATAACAATGACAATGATGTTGTTGTTGCTGATGGATCGAAAGAGAGTGTTCATGACGCGACAGCTCTCATGGACTCTCCAGCACGGCCTGTCTGATTGATGAGACCGTTCCTTCAGTGCTCTGGTCGTTGTGGCTTTTTGCTGGCAGTACTGGCAGGCACCAGCGCAAAGAGTGCAAAGAGCATGAAGCCGGCGGGCGGCCGCGAGACACTGCTTTTCTCACCAATCCGGACATCCAGTAAATTATGGCCTTCCCTTCTCTGGCGACCTCAGTCGCATGCGAAGACCACCTCTTGAAGTATGACTGGCAATAGGCACCCATTCCAAAACATGATTTTCCATTGCTTCCTTTCCAGTCCAAGCTTGCAGGACCCAGCCTGGTGAAGCCCCCTATGTATGCACAGAGCCCATCCTCCGGGCACCCCCATGATTCTGTCGTGCGTTCTGCCCAGAGCCCCCGGAATCCAAAAAGAACCACAAGCCTAAACCCCGAGGGCCCGAATAAACTGTCCAAAACTAGGCCCTAAGTCCGAAACCCTCGACATCCCTGAACCCTCAGACCCTAGCAAGCCCTAAACCCAAGAGGCCTCCACGCCGACGTGGAAGGCCCCGACGCTTCCCCGTGTGGCCACGGAAAGCAGGGAGTTGGCCTTCACCTCGGCAGAACCAGAAAGCTACCAAAAAAAATGCAGAAGATGTAAAGAGGCCCCTGAGTCCTCAAAAGCGGGAGTTCTTCTGGGCTGCTTTTGGAGTGTTCCGGCTTCTGTTAAAAAAGCCCGTAAGCCCCAATTGAAAGCCTTGAGCACTAAAGAGGTTGCATTAGTAAGCTTTGGATGTTGAGGCCCAAGCCCCACCGCACAGCGGTCCTGAAACGAAGTGGGCACGATCCAACCAACGCGCTGTAACACTCACGGAATCCCGTGCAAGAGCTGGCGAATGCAGAAATATCAAGCTGTCAAGAAAAGCCAGACAGCGAGGCTCCGGCCAAGGCCTCGGTCAGGTTATACACATGTACCTTCTTGGACGCTGCACATACAGTTAAGCTAACTATATGGTGCAGGGCTATACTTCGTGTTGACTTGAATGGTCTAACCTGTGTCATGGAATACACATATGTATATCTGCTGTTATATATATATATATACTTATTTATATAGATAGATAGATAGATAGATAGATAGGCGTTTCGAAGCGGTTCCAGCAA